CCAAAGTTTAAAACTTTTCTTACCACTGAATTGCATTTTTTGGTTGGGACCCAGCATTTAAATCTGTCAGGGTCCTTCTGGATCTTGAGCTTCTAAAGTGATGGCCATTACCCCAGCTTGTGGTTATCTGCAAATTTGATGAGTTCTCCTTCTATCCCTTATGAAGATATTGAAGAGTACTGGGCCTAAGACAGAATCTTGGAGTACCTTACTGCATGCTTCCCTCCATGTAGATGTAGTTCCATTGAGTTGAATGTGGTTGGACAACCAGTTACGAATACATCTAGTGATACTGTTTATCCTACATTTTTCCTATCTCATCATGAGGTAGGTTATAATCTGCTTTATCAAATTATTAAAATCTAAGTAAACTATGTCCACAGTATTTCTCTGATCCACTAATTAAGTCACTTTGTCAAAGAATGAAATAAGGTTTGTCTGGGATGACATGTTGGCTTCTACTATAGCTTTTTTTGCTTCTAGGTGTTCGCATAATCTGTTACCTTGCCAGGATTTCCCCAGATATTGATGTCAGGTTATTGGTCTGGATCCATTTTTCCTTTTTTAAAGATTGGAATCACATCAGCTTTTTCCCACTCCTCTAGTAATTCCCTGGTGCTCCAGGATTTTTGCAAGATATTGTTCATTAGTTCAATAGCATTACAGTCTGGTTTGGAAGCACCACTGCTTAAGACAGGAAGGCGGTGCAGAGAGTGGTGAGGATGGCTGAAAACATCATTGGCAGTTCACTCTCTTCAATCCAGGATATAGCATATAAGTGTTGCTTGAGCAGGGTCCGTAAGGTTGTCTGGGACACTACACATCCTCTTCACAACCTGTTTACTTTGTTACTTTCTGGGAGGAGACTTCATGTTTCTGAAGCAGAACATCCAGATTCAGTCACAATTTTGGTCCGTACAGTATTAACCTTGTGAATTCTCAAGCTTCCTCTTTCCGCTATGTATTCAAGAGGGACAGTGATTAATATTTATATGTATTTATAGGTTGTATAGGCAATAGAATTTCATTTTTAATGTGTGCCAGTGTGCCCACAGTAAAAAATGACAATAAAAGTTATCTTAAATAGTTCCGAGATCACATCTGCTAGCTCCTTCAGAACCCTGGAATATAATTCCTCTGGTCCTGGTGATTTGAATTTGTGTAGAAGGGATACATATTCTCTTATCATTTTCTTGCCTATTTTGACTTATATTCCTCTTCTGTCTTTTATGATACTGCTTTTGATACGTTGGACTATTTTTTCCTTTTGTGTCTAGACAGATGCAAAGAATGAATTAAGCAGGTCTACTTTCTCCCTGCTACCCATCATTTCCTTGCCATCTTCTCCCATTAATGGATTGATTGTTTCTTTGACATTTTTCTTGTTTTTTACATGTTGAAAGAAACTTTTTTTATTATTATTATTTTTGACATTTGTTGCAAGTCTTGGTTTATTCTGAGCCTTAGCTTTCCTGGTCTTTGCACATTTTTGAATCTGCTGTAGTTATCTGTCCCTCTTTCCATTTTTTATATTTGTCCTTTTTGTCTCTCAGTTTATCAGAGAGTTCTTTATGGAACCATGCTAGTTTTGTCTTGGGTCTCTTATTTTTCTTTCTGAGTGATATTGTGTTAGATTGGGCTTTTATAATCCTCATTTTTTCAGAGTTTCCCAAGCTTCTTAAATTATTTTCCCCTTTAAGATTTCCATCCATGGAATCCTTCTTAAGCTCTAAGTTTGTTGAAATAAGCTCTTTTAAAGTCTAAGACGCTCATTTGACTTTGTTCTATTACTTCTGCCTGCATTATGTTGAATTCCAATATGACACAGTCACTCCCCCCAAAGTTCAAAGTGCAACTTCAACCCCCTCTATCATTTCATCCCTATTAGTATGTATGAAGTCCAGTATAGCTGACCCTCTTCTTCCCTTCTTTAGTGTTTGGATGGCAAAGTTGTCTGCTAGGTTTGTCAGGAACCTGTTTGATCTCCCACTTGGTGCAGAGTTTGTGTACCAGGTAGTTGATGTCCAAGTAGTTAAAGTCCCCCATTACTATTGCAGTGTGTGCTTCCTGCACACCTTAGCTAACTGATTAGCTTATTTGGTTGTGTGATCAGTAGTATATATCTATGGCAATGTCATTTCTTTTCCCTTTTATATGCATTCAAGGAGAAGTAAAACGCAGTTCCAAATTCCAAATGCATTCAAGGAGAAGGAAAAGAAAAAGGAGAAGAAACAAAGAATGTAATCCTCTGAATGTGAATCTGTGTATGTGAAGTTTGACATTGACGTATTTAATATATTTAAAGACATTTTAATTATCCAGTTGAAAAGTTCATAATTTGAAAGAGAGGAATTGTGAACCTTAGCTCAGTGATCAATCTTAATTTACAGTGCAGTGGGTAATCTTCAAAGCTAGAGCTAGGATAGCATTAAAAACAGACATAATTGCATGTGTTATATTCTGTGTATCACACACCTTGGGACTTTAACCCATTTAAGTATGGCTACCTTTTTATCAGCACCTTTTTATCAGCACATGCAAACTGACTCAAATTTTAATGACTTTCACTTGCATGTTTACCAGTGCAAAAGCTTTTGGAAATGTTATAGTCCATAATTTATTGTTAGCAGACTGTCACTGAATCCAGTAGGATTGAATTAATCCAAGTGCAGTCTAACTGCTAAATTTACTATCAACTTGGATAAAAATGAAAGCAGAGGTAATCTCAGCAGAAACTGTCTCAGCTCAGGAACTGTCTTACTTCTAAAATCTCCATTTAACTATTTTCTCAATACAACTGGGGTCGCTGAAAATCTTTCAAAATAATTGACTCTGAGATACCTCTTCATTGGAATCATACTGAAGACGAAACTCTCTTATTCACAAAAGACTCGGGTATGATGCAAACCATGTCCAGACTGATATATTGTTTATATAGAAACTTTAAATCAAAAGTCTGTTTCCTGTGATATTTGATGTTTGGATTTTCAGATTGTGTTCTGTGCGAAGAGAACTATGTTAGTTTATCAGAGAGAGAAACATCCCTATTAAGGGCCTTTATTAGTTATAGTATAAGCTATAGTTGCATTGGGACAATCTTTAGTGTGCCATAGACGCAATGCCAGTATAGAGGACATGCCAATGAACAAGGGTTAATCTGTTTCCCTAGCTTTATATCCTCCCTTCAAAACATCACTAGCAATGAGAAATGTGAAGTGGGAAAAAAAAAATCTATTAATTAGTTTCTTTAATGCATCATGAACCTGGCCTGGGATGCTCTTTGGCATAGGTGTTGGTGCAGGTATATTTAGAGGTAGCCCAACTATATGTTCATAACAGATGACTTGCAGAGGATCAGTGCTGTCCTGAAATAGCACTAACCCCCCCCCAAATCACAATGCTTAGGTGTTGGGCTACTACCTTTGAATGCACCAGGTAAAACATCTGTAATAAATCAGAGCTGAGCCTGGGCTACTTTTGGATTCAAATTCCAGGGCTACAGGTACAGCTTACAGGGACAGTGTTAGATGCACTGTGAGACAACACAATCTTTTTTTCCAGCTTCATACTGCAACAGACCTTCATTCCACTTCACCTGTTTCTGGCAGGCAATTGTTGATCAAGGTCATTAAGATGGAGATCTTCTAAGAAACCTGATGTATATGGAAGGCATGTTGGTTTTAAAGAGATGAATTCCTTTGCTGATGGAAGCTATATGGCCTTGAAAAGCAACCCTTGGGGGCAGAATAGGAGAAGGTGTGTTTGCTCTCATCTGAAGTATCCAATACCTACTAGCTTGATCCCAACTCTTAGGGATCAGTTGACTTTATTGTATTTTTACTTTGTGAGCTTTGATAGCTTAGTAGCTCTATCCACTTGGCTGTGTTCCTTAACTATCAGCTTCCTCTGCACGTAGGAGGGGTAATCCAGGGCTACGGTTTCAAAATGATTTCTCATACTCAGAAGTAGAAGGGCTTCCAGGCAGTAGATAACTATGCATTTTTAGCTGCTTTGTCATGGCTTCTGATGAGATTGAGGATCTTGAAGCATAGGGCTGTCATGAGTATCTTTTCCCCTTCAAAGAGGAAGCTCTTCCATCTGACATGCTTCTCCTCGCCTCAGATATTTTAGCCACATGAGGGTTGAGCATGCAAATTGTTACTAATACTCAAGTTATAACACCAGTTCAAAAGGGATGAGTCCAGAACTACATCCCCACTTAATATTGGCATCCACTAAAATGTTGTGAAGCCTATTATGGCAAAGCTGCCACTGTTTCTTAACTCTTAAAGGGGAAAATGCTGTTTTAACATTGGACAGCTAAACTGACCTTCATTCTCAGGTATGGTTTGGGGCCTAAGTGACCACAGCCAGCCATGACAACCCAAACGTGCCATACATGCAGTTACATTATAACACAATTCTTCCCCACTTCCTTTCATTCTTGTGTCCTAATGCTGGATGCAGATATGTGAGTCACTGCATTGTGATTTCTTGCTACCTGTAGAAACCTGTGGATTGGGGACGAAACAAAGACAATGGCGTGGAGACGCGGCCGAAAACGGGATTCTGAGATTTGTGGATAGGGGCCCTAAGTTTCCAGGAAAAAGAACAGGAATGCTTCGTGGTCTTTTTTTTTTTTTACTTTGATGGTGAAGAAAAAACAAAATCTCTTTCCGTCCCTCTTGCAGGTGTAGGCCGGCCCTGTTCTTTGGCAGAGCCAAAGGAAGGCGGAGGCTTTCTTGGAAAGGACTACCACCTTCCCCACGGGAAAGTTGCAGCGGGTTGTTAAAGAGTCCGAAGTCAGGGGGAAAGAGCAAGCCGGTGGCACGTGTGACGGGTTTGCCCGCTGAAAGGGGCGGGAGCGTGGGCGAGCCTGGCGGGTCTGACCGAGCGCCGGAGCTGCAGCCTCCCTCCGTCTTATTAGTTGGATGAGCGGGAAGCGTGGGAAGGAGTTGCCGCCCCGGCGATCTGGTGGGTGACGGCGATGCCCCGGAGAGCGAGGCAGGCGCGAGACCCGAAAGCCTGAGGTAAAAGAGCTCCCGCGTTTTTGTCGTCCAAGCTTTTGCAGTCCCAAACTTTCAGGGGAAAAAAAAAGGAAAACTGGGCTTCGGCTTTGGAGCAGAAAGCGGACGCCTTCATGGGGGAAGACTTAGGAATAAACTGGGCAGTTCCGCGCAGCTCTCGCGGACTCTCCAGTTTAGCCTGTCCAAAGGTTCATCTAGCCGTGGCTGTGAGGGTACAATATAAAACGTGTCTGCGCTACGGTGAAATCACTGCGGCGTAAAGCGCTCGGGCGTGAGGAGCCTCCACCTGGGCTCTCTGAATGCTGCCTGTAAGTGTATTCTTTTGCTTTACCTTCTTCAGACTTGGATGGTTGAGTGACTAAAGGGACAACTGCCCACTCTGGCCAGACGTTTGAGGGTATAAGAGGATCAAATACTAGGGTGGGTAGCTTCAGATCAAAGTGGCTGAATCAAGACCGCAATCCAGTACCGCTTACTAGGAAAGGAATCCCACTGACTTCAGTGGAATTTACTTCCGAGGAGACAAATGCTCCAGTGGGAGGAATGCAATATTAATTCTCTTATATTATAGGAATGCAATATAATTCTCCTGCCTCCATCCAATCTTATTACAGTCTGCTTTATTTCTGAGAGTCCACCGTTACTTATTCTTCAGTTGCCTCCTACTTTCCTTTCTTTCTTTCTTTTTGCAGGCTTGCTTCTTTTTTTCCCTAGATATTTTTTTAAATTTGGATCCCTTCATTATAATTATTCCACTACTTAGCTTGCAGTAACTGACTGCTGTTCCCTTAATAGTTCCTCACTTTTTTTAAACAAATAAATATGATAAGACTTCTACAGTAATGGCTGATTGATAGAATACATGCTGTCAAATTGGTGTGGATTCTTAGGGACTGCAAAGACCTTCAGTATGACTGCAGAAAGCTACCACTAATGAATCCTGACATCTTTCACCCTTTGGCAATGTTTATTTTTGAAGTTTTCTGTCACTTCAAAAGTACCTCATTGATGCATTCGCAACAATGAGTTTCATTTTTATCTGCAGCAGCAACTGGGAATAGGTTCCAGTTTTATTGATGCAGCCCTTGTTATCCATGTTAAATTCTTCTGTCCATCTTACATTGTACTTATTGCTCTCTTCATACCATATTTCTTCATACCACATTACCCATTTTGCTCTCTTCATATTACCTATTTTTAACATCCAATTTAGACTAGTTGCTGCAGTATGCTGAACTTTATGAAGCAGGTCTGTACGAGAGCATGCCCTAGCCTCACATATATGGGTAACTCTGGTAATTTTACCCCAAAGAAGCTTATGTGGCAACTTAAATAGTCTGCTTAAACATGCTGTTCTGTGCATTGTTTTTTTGAAAATAATATAATATAAAGTTTGCTAAGATAATATCTGACATTTTAATTAGGTTGCATACAGCTTCAAATTCAAATTAAAAATTGAATTTGCGTTTGAAATTGACCATGTATGCAGAGTACTTTTAATCCTTTTAAGTGCTATATTCAAACAGAAACAAAACTGGAATTGCTTATGAAAATGCATACTTACATATGTTGCTCTTCCTCTATTTAAGTAATATACTTTTCATCTGTTTGCATTATTCCCCACTGGCTTAGTATTAGTTACAGGAATATGTTTTTGTCAGGCAACATAGACTGTAGTATATCAGTGCTCAGCTTTATATCACTATGTCTAGTGTAACGCCAAAATATCAGTTTTATTTCAAGTGTACTTGTATAGAATTCTTCCTCTTTTGAATTAATATTCTTTATTTTAAAACTGCAACTGTTAATTTTTGAAATCTTTGGCACGGTGGAATAGGTAACCCAATTTTACAAAGTTAACCTAAGATTGCCTTGTTCTTATGCTGAGCTTTTACTAGCATAAGACTATATGGAAGTTATAACTTCATTTTCTAAGAAATAAGGAAAGGGGAGTATCAGATAGTGTATAATCTATGTGAGCTGATAAGTAAAGGACTGGTTGAGTGCAAATGACCCAGTCAACTCATGCAGAGACTTTGCTTGGTCATTAAATGCTATGTGGGACAAAGAATGACAGTAAAAGAAAATCAATGTAAGCATTTAATTGGGGGGAGGGGAATGTGCTCATGTGTAATTTTTTTCCTGTTTACATTTAAATTCATATTTCTTCTGTAAAAATGTTTCAATTAGCTTCAGATTCATGTGGTAGAAAGTTTTATATAATGAATAAAATGGACTGAACAGAATGTATAAATGTAGAATAAGATGTTCATTCTCCATTAATTTAGAGTTTTGGAAAAAAACATATTTTGTAGTATTTCCTCAGTTACCTGAAATAAGCTCAGATTTTAGTTTGATGTATTGTGTTTCTGCTCTGTATTCCTAGTGTGCTTTCCTGATGCCATAGAACATGTGCTACGAATAAGGAATATGAGAATATTGTGGTAAATGAATATGTGGTATATAGTATGATAGAAAAATAATATATGCTGAATTTACTATCTGCATATTAAATATGGTAAAATATAGCTATAATATTGCACTGATGGAAGGAATAGCATGTCAGATCCTGAACAGCAGCATCTGGAGACTGCGTAATACATAGAATATCCTTACTTAAAAAAAATAGCAGACATCAAAAGTGCTTTGCAGTTGTGTTGTCCATTTTTCTGTTGCTCTCCTAAGTGCATATCATAACTCTTTCTTTGCATATACCTAAAAATAGACTGTAGACTCCTATAGACATTCTGTCCTTACTTCAAGTTCTAAGTTACACTTATTTCCAGGGCTAATTAATATAAGAAACTGGTACACATTTATTTGTGAAGCAAATTGATCAATCAGTTTAATCAATGGTTATTTACTCTCCTACTAGTTCTAATTTCTTCCTGTTATATGTATGACATTTTGAGTAAAATAATGGAACGGCGAAGTCTGGAGATATGCACCAGGGGGCTGGGTATAAAAAAAACACTACTTTATTCTATTGTTGGGGGAAAATGGGCAAAACTGAGAGTACAAAGCAATATATTTAGTTCATTGTCAGCAGTTGAATGATAATTATCTGAGACACTTCTGTGCTCATATATTAGCCAGGAAGGACGAGTTTATTTCACCTATTGGTTCTCTGAGTGCTGCAGACCTCAGTAGAAGAAAACATGTTACTTTCCAGAGCATCCTCATACACTGCATAGTAAGAAACAGTCTGCTGACACTTTACTGGTTAAACCCATAAACCCATAAACTTGGTTAAACCCATATACTTGGGTGAAGGTAAAATAGAATCCTTTTATTTGTCTTTGCCTTATCTCACACCAAACTGTTAGGCAAAATAAATCAATTATTATTACTGTTATAGCTAAATTTACTTTCTTACATATAATACTGATATTATTTTTTATCATCAGATTGTTCATTGCAATACACATATATTTCCTGCATTATTGTCGAGGTATGTGAGTGAAAATTGGATTGGAGAGATTATAGCAAAGGTAAATTGGAAAAGATTGGGAAAAAAAACTCCCTAGGAAGTAATCCAATTTTCACAAAATGTAAAAATCAGTATACTAGTACATGAAACTATAAAACATGCTCTTAATTATACAATTAAAAAGGAATCTGTATGAGATAATGAGTATTGTTTGGAAAATATGTTCTCAAATATTGATAATTTAATAATCCTATCCATATTTATGCTAACATTTGCATTTCAAAATTTTAAATATACCCCTTTCTACTTTTTGGCAGCTTTGTATTGACTGAATTGATCTATTGTATTACTCTTTTTATATTTTGTTAATTGTATTATTTGTATGGGTGTTTATGCATGTTCATCTACATTAAACCTGTCCTTGTATCAGAAATGGGTAAGATTAACTATGTAGTATCATTTATTGTATTTAAATAGTTTCTTTTACTGTATTACAGATGCCTGATGGTTTCCTGGCCGCTGAGATATTTTGAATGCTGAAATTTTCTTTCTAACAATGAATGGTTCACACTTAACGTCTGGAATTTCTGATTCTACCTGTGGTGACAAAAAAGAATCTGATGTATATTATTCTGTCATCTTCATGACTGTTGGGATTTTATCCAATAGCCTTGCAATAGTAATTCTCAGGAAAGCATATAAGAGATTTAGACAGAAATCAAAAGCATTGTTTTTGCTTTTTGCCAGTAGCTTGGTTATCACAGACATGTTGGGCCATCTCATCGTTGGAACTATTGCAGTATTTGTATATGCGTCTGATAAAAACTGGGGTTCATTTTTTCCATCAGAAGAGATATTTTGCAATTTTTTTGGTAGCTGTATGGTGTTCTTTGGACTTTATCCTCTTTTTCTGGGCAGTGTAATGGCTGTGGAACGCTGCATTGGAGTGACAAAACCAATATTTCATTCAACAAAAATGACTTTTAACCATGTAAAAATGATATTGACTATGGTGTGTTTTTTTGCTATTTTCATAGCTTTGCTGCCTATAATGAGATTAAGATTATATAAAATTCAAGAATCAAGAACCTGGTGCTTCTATAAAATAAAGGATACTAAAGACTGGGAAGATAGATTTTACATCTTACTTTTTTCTTGTTTGGGTTTGCTGGCCCTTATTATTTCACTTTTGTGCAATTCTGTGACAGGAATTACACTTTTAAGAGTCAAATTTAAGAGTCAACATAGACAGGGCAGATCTCATCATTTTGAAATGATCATTCAGCTCTTGGGCATAATGTTTGTCTCTTGCATTTGCTGGACCCCTTTCCTGGTAAGAACTTAATCATATTTGCCAAATCTAAAGCTTCCTGTTATATAGATATTTTTCTCATATTTACAGTACATAATCCATTGTTTCGAATCTTCTCATTCAAGTAGTATGCATACTTGGGTTTCTGTAAATATAGCAATATTTTCAAAATAGTCCTGATGCTGCCAAGATTAATAATTCTAAGATCTTCTTTGGATGAGATTCAATGGCTATTAGCCTTGATAACAATGTAATTGCCTCTGAAGGCCATCTGCTGGGAGATTAGTAGGCTTCCTTGTCTAGTTGGTTGGTCGCTATGAGACTGTTAGCTGGGCCAGGAGTCTGATCTAGCAAGCTACCACTTACATTCTTATGTTATATATTGGGATAATATCCTAAGATATTGGGTTGAATATAATGATACAACTTTCCAGAAATTCAATCTGTTGTGAATTACATGTGATAGGAGTGGATAGAATTTGCATATCAGGGCTGATAGATTGCTTTAAAGATTGGACAGTTACCTTTACAGAGTACATGCAGGAAAACTCTAAGATAATTGTCAAATGTACATGCAGATCAAGCTAGCAATTCTCTGTCCCTGTTGCACAAGTGTGCATTGATCATGATAGAGTCATGACCATGTGTTGGGATTATTAAAAACTGACATTCAGTACCTCGGTTCTGTGAATTCTATATGTTTATAACTGCAACTATTTTCATGTAGTTAATGAAAAAGAGTTAATAAATAGGAACACTGAAACAATAAATGGAAACCAGTTTGCATTTTTGAAAATAATGGAACCATATAAATAATAGATATTTTAAGGAGAATTAAAAATTTGGGTCTAGGTGCAAACATTTTCTAGGTGAGGGTGGATGCTGAATAATATGCTAAGGCTATCACGGGATAGTGCAAAGGAAGTTATGATTTCTGTTGTTTTTCTTTTTATATTGAAAACCAAGATAAACAGAATATCTTAAATAATGAGACTTATTGTGCCACAGGGGAGAGTAGTATATAAAAATTTAGAATCTTTACCAAAGCAGTGGATGCAAACAGTGAACTGCACCACAGCTTTGCTTTGGAGGATTGTTCCATTTGAAGCTGTAATGAAACAATGTGCCCCATCAAAGGTCTACAGCAATACTGAGGGGAGCCCCAACATTTCTTAAAACAGTCAGAAAAAGTTTTTTTTTCTATCAAAGCAAAACCAAAATACACGTGGCTAGTTTGTGTTTTGAATGCAAATCCACCCATATCATAAGTTTGCATTTACCACTAAAGTGTAGACTGCTAGACTACTTCTTCCCCAATATTTAAACAAGATGATTAGAGAGCTATAGACTAAAATACAATGAATGTTTGCAAGAACTGGGTGTGTCTAGTGCAGGGGTAGGCAACCTTGGCTCTTTTATGACTCGTGGACTTCAATTCCCAGAATTCCTGAGCCAGCATGGCTGGCTCAGGAATTCTGGGAGTTGAAGTCCACGAGTCATAAAAGAGCCAAGGTTGCCTACCCCTGGTCTAGTGTAATGAAGATAAGGGCTAGGGGTGACCTGGTATCAGTTTACCAGCATTTGAGCTACTGTTACAAAAAAGACAGGGGCCAATCTATTCTCTAAAGCACCTGTTACAGAAGTGACAAATGGAAATTTACCAAAGAGAGAACCAACCTAGATCTAAGAAGAAATTTCCTGATAGAATAATTAGTCAGTGGCTGCCTTCAGAGGTGGCTGCCTTCAGAAATTGTGGGTGCACCAACATTGAAGTTTTAAATAAGAGATTGGACAGTCATTTGTCCAGAATGATATAGGTCTCCTGCTCAAGCAGGAGGTTGCAGTAGCAGACCTCCAAGGTCTGTTCCAACTCTGTTATTCTGTTATTTGTTATTTATGGGTAACAAGTTGTAAATTATAAGATGGACATTCAGTCCAGTCTTCCTTGAAGAAGGTGGCTTGATAGCTTGACTCGAATACCACAGCAAACTATATTTAAAATAGCTTAAACCCACACATTGTGCTAATCGTAATTTGTTTTATTTGGATTTGGCTTAGCAAATCTATGAAGCAATTAAGATTTATTCAACAAATCATGGGTAGAGAAAACTATGACTGCATGATCTTCAAACCTAAAAAACTGCATGACAAACCCAAACCCACTGTTTTTATTGTAAATATGTTGCTTTTTTGAAATTGGTTACAAGTTACAAAAGCCTAAAAATGGCAGTAGCAAAAATGCACAAGAAGCATATTTAAAACCATACTTAGTTAACTGTATGTTTGGAATCAATTCATGTAGTGGATACCTAACCAAAGATTGGCATAATATTTGAATGGCCATTATTTTATTAAATTTGTAAGGGTTATAATTTAGCAGCACTTTGTATGAAGAAAGTCCTAAAATTCTATATTCTGCACTGTTAGAGACTACTGGGGAAGATTTTTTTTCTGAAATCCTAAATAAACATTCCCAGTCATTAGACTGAATAGGATGGAGAATAGTTTGACCTGGGGCATGTCAGGAGCTGTGTGGTGTGTGTGTGTACACAAACACAGACACACTGAGGGAGATGGGTGGCTAAGAAATATGAAATATATATATAAAAAAATGTAAACATAATGATTATTTTCAAATTCCATAAAATGTGTGATAAAATTTAATTTTAATTTAGATGTGTAAATGGTTCTCATTGTCATTTACTATTTAACACTCTGGAGTTTTCTGACTACAAACTATAGTTTCATCAGCTAAATGGTTTCATTCTATTTATTCCACAAGGAATCATGTTCTCTTCCTGAATGAGTATGGAATGAAATATTTTTAAGACATTTCAGATTGGTACTAGAGACAAATTAGGAATAGAGTTTAATATTAAGCTATGGAAAAACATAGCTTAATATGTTGGGAATCATTAGCAAATTAGGATTGTAGGAAGTTGTTATCTTGTTTATTTACATATTGCACATCCTTGTTTATTTTAAAGTAAAAGTAATCTAGTAGTGCCTACATTATTGGAGAATAATGTACTGTATGTAGGCATTCAATATTTTAATATTTAAGCCGTAAAGTGTATTAGAAATTCAATATCACTGAATCAATGATGACTGGATAATAATAAAAACCTCCTAAGTCAGCAGTAATTTTTTTATCATCATTGTGGATGAGGGTACATCATAAACAGTGTCTTTAAAGAATGTTCAGCAAGAAAAGAGAATCAGCAGTGATAAAAAGAAGTAATATGTTTGTGCTTAGAAGAATTTGCCTGATAGCACCAAGTGGAAAGAATGTCCTGTTAAACTTCGTACAAGTCAAACCACACAACATTATTATAATATGAATTAACTGTATGGAAAGAGCAGGTATACATGGAAATATGTGAGTTTTTTGATTAAAGAGAACATAAAAGATTTCATTGTTCAGTATTTTATAATCTTAAACTTCTTAAATCATCACAGTACTTTAATCATTTTTACTGAGGCTAATGAGAGTTTTCTAGGTCATAATGACAGAAATGCAAAAGTCACAATCAGAAGTTTCACTTTTCACAGAGTTATCTATTTAATAAACTATACCTGCTTTTTAAAAACAGTTTTCTTTGGAAATTAGTTAATATTGTGTAATGCAAAGATGTTCAATTAGAGTTAATCTACATGTAGTATCAGTCATATAAAAGCTAAAACAGCATTTTTGGTGGCTGTTCCAGCCTGATACATAGATCAATAATGGCACAGTAAGTGAAGTTGTTTTACATAATAGGGTATTAATACCCACTGCTTTATACTTTTAGCTTAAAATGTTTTATACTTTTAGCTTAAAATGACTAACTGGGAAAAAATAATTGGGCAATTCCATACTAGATTTGAAATTAAGTTTTAATCCTGATTACATTGTTACTGTGACTGATTCAGGATCCTTTTCTGTTACCTAGCCACGAACAAATCATCTCTGTAATTCTTTCATCATGAAGGGGTTATTAACTGTTTCTCTATGTAGATACATTTGGTCATAATCCAATAGCAGCATCATAATGCATTGGACCTCTTACATTCAAAAGGCCTAGCCCATTTAATAGACAATAGAGTACTATATATGGGAAAGAGTGCTGAACATAATTATCCTGTAATTGGAGGAAAATGACCTGTGTGAAGAGTTCTATTTGTAGATGGAATTATCTGATTTCTTAGTATTTTGAATGCTTGGCTTACAACTTGTTATCCTGATGTTTTTTTATGGACTTCATGAAGCATAGTTTGCTTTCATATTTAAGATTTCATTATATTTTTCTGATTATTTTCTAAAAAATAATACTTTGTTTACAATAGCATTATTTCATTCTTCAATTTACATTTCCTTTTTTTTTCCCTATCCCACAAATATATTCAACCAAACTTATTTTACAGTCAGTTATATTTTTCCAAGTTCTTCTTTAGGCAACTGAAGCCTTTATTGAAAAATTATATTCCTTTAAAAACTTGAGTAGAAAATATAATCAGTAGGAAAAAAAAACACCTTTCCCATTAGATTTCTTACTTTGTTACTTGAAGTGACTCAAGAGCACTTACAGGAAATCACATTTCATTCAGACAGGAAGAGATAATAATGTGAATCTTTCTCTCTGTGTGTGTATCTGTGGGAAAAAAAGAATGTATTTGAAGAAAGATCTTCAAAGTAGCTCTTCTGTAAGATTAAATTTTCTTTAAAAAAGGAAAAAATATTAATTTGATATTAAAAACACCTCTTAAAAGTAGTCACCACTATTCTTATTTCTTCAGCTGTATGCTTCAGTTTAATATTTCTTTCAAGAACCTCATTTGGTGCTTTCTAAAGAAAAGTGAACTTTTTTTTAGAAAGACATTTTTTTCTGTCAATACTCCACAGGATCTTACACCTTCTTCTTAATATTTTTAAAGATTACTATCATTGATGTACCCTTATTACTTTTTCACACTTTGTTTGCTTCACATCTTGGTAGAAAAAGAAAGTCTCTTGATTATCAATTCCATTAGAAAATTTTAAATATTAAATTTAATATTTTAAATATTAAATAAGACCAAATATTTTCTTTAATCATATGTGCTTCCATGGAACATATCCTCTTAGAGAAAGATAATTCTTTAATAATTTTTGCTAATGCATAAATATTGCTTCTGAATTAGTACTGGGCCTTATGCACTTTCCAGGCTCCTCTGGTATCATGTAACTGGTAATCATTTCTTTCCTATGAACTGGCAGCAATTATTTCTGCTATTTTTCATTCTGCCTCTCATTTTGATCATAGTTCAATTAATAAGCTTATGTGAGCAGTTTTCTAATATGTCTTATAACTACTAATTACTTTGGTGCACTTAGTGAAACAACTGTATATATTATAATACTGAAACTAACTCTTTTTTGAATGTCAAAAAAACTAAAAAAGGTTTTGGGAGAACATGTATTTGCTTCTGAAATCTATGGATTTAAAGTGCTTGGTTTTTTTAGAGAAAACCTTTATTTATGTCATAGTCAGTTATTTTTTTTCCTCCCCACCACACAAAGTATAATGGGAAGAAATTACTCCCATTCATTAATTTCAAGTTATCAAGTCATCTTCTTAGATGTTAAGATCTAAATTTTTCTCATTTAGATGGTATAGAGATGTTGAGCAATTTGTGAATACTGCACTCTGTGTGTTTGTATGGGTTATGTATTGCTGCTATTTGTACAGATAGTAGCAGAGAGATATACTACTTCTCACTAAACATGCCTGGTCATAGTATCCAGCTCCTTATTGTATTCATTTCTATGGGTTCTAAACCATAGAAATGAATAGCTTTTTTCAATTGTAAATTCTGTATAAGAATGCACATCTTATGTATATAAAGATAATTTGCCCACCAACAGTACTTTTAATGAGAATAATAAAAATTACTGATTTGCTTATGCTCATAATAGTTATTATTGTTCTTGCTATGGATAAAGCTGTTTTTTAAATAAATATAAAGGGAATTATATTCATTATAATTTTCATATTCTTACAATTCCATGACAATTTCCTTTAAAAATTTTACTTTGTCTCACCATAACAGACTTATTAATATTAATAACAGTGCAATATTTTTAAAGAGTATGGCTTAAAGTCAGTGACACAATGAAACTCTAAGAAGAGTTTATCACTTCTAATCTCTTTTCTCCCAAATCAACAGCATAGTAGGTTCTTAAAACATGATGAAATTAAGAAATGATAATATATCCCCTTGTGAGCAACTCTTTGATGATAGATCTGCAGTGCTATCTGCAGTGGTGGTTTGACTTCCTATTGGCAAGAACTTCCGCCTTATATTCCTTCCTATTTCTAGGAATTTGTCTCTCTTCCATAAAGCAAGATGCTTTTGCACTTTGACTTCTGCCCTCTGTTGTTTCCTGTCAAACAATAATTAATCAGCTCCATCAAAAGTTAAATTGTCATTTTTTCTGTTTGATATTTGAAACTAATACCATGTGTCCATTGTTATACTTTGCCACATCAATTTGAAGTTGAAACCTCCTTCTACTTTCAAGATCCTTTGTAAAAAATTCTGTTTTTCTGTGTCTGTTTCAATCTTTAATATCTGTAGAGATGTTGTGATACTACTTGTTTTCTAGCAGCTCTTTAAATTAAGATAGCTGATTTTATAGATAATTTATTATAAGGAAAAATAGTAATCTTTTCAGATAAATATAGTGCAGTTGGGGGGCTAGAGAACCATTCTTCCTTACAACTCTGTTTATTATAATTCAATGGGAGAGTCCTTCTTCTAGTCCCTCTAGAGCAGTGGTTCTCAACCTTTTTAATGCCACGACCCCAACCAGTCGTAAGTCGAGGACTAAACCGGTCGTAAGTCGAGGACTAAACCGCTCGTAAGTTGAGGACTACCCAACCAGTCGTAAGTTGAGGACTTTCCCTGCCCAGAAGTGCCGCGCATGCGTGGTTCCGCCCCCTGCGCCAGCCGAGGCGTAGCTGGCAAGTGGCACAGACGGAGCAGGCCAACCACCAGCTGGCCCAGCCCAAGGGAGGTAAGGCACCCGCCGGAAAAGGGGAAAAAAATGGCGGACAAAAAAAAATGGCGGACAAAAAAATGGCAGACAGCCTTGCTTGGCGACCCCCGTGAAATGGTCGATCGACCCCAAATGGGGTCCCGACCCACAGGTTGAGAACCACTGCTCTATGGGGTTCACTTGGATTATAAGAAAGCACTTCATCTGGGATAACTTTTCTATCTATATGTAAAGGCTTGTCTTAGCTGTTTACCATCATGTTAAATAATTTTTATTTTGCATGCTTTTAATTTTCTAGAATTATCTTGAGTTCCAAATAATTTTAAAAGTAAAATTTAAATTTATCTCACTAGTTTATTTATTTTAATGGAAACGTATGGATTTTAGGATCAGTTAGAAAACCAGATGCTGAGCATTTTACTAGTCTTTTATTTATTTAGATTATTATATATTTTATAAAATCAGCCATTTTAATTGGTTTTCGGTAAACTTGATATAATCCCCCCAATCATAGGGCTCTAAAACTTCATCCAAAGCCATAGAGAACAAAGAAGATGACCTTGATGGAAATATTCAAGAACCATGATCTACACAAAAGGTGTTGAAACATTTTTTAAGTTGAGAAGATCCTTTCCTACAGAACAATCACTTGAAAGATTCTGTTATTATAACCAATCTCAGTAAAAGTAGTTTTAGCTGTTCTGTAGAGTTGATTTTCTGTTCTAATCTATCTAGTGGGACTGGCACATAATAGCTTCTTCTATGTTCAGAACATGTGTTAAATTCTTATATATTCTTACATCGTATCTATTTAGAACATCACAAATATTTCATAAAGGTTTAATCCAAAGGTTTCATTGGCAGTAAAGAAGATATTACTTACCTTTTCAATGCACTAAAACCTGTAGTATTGGAAGTTGATTGTTATTAATGATGGTCATTCAGTAATCTCCTGCACCTCACGCAAGGATATAATTTAGCTTCTTGAACATCAGAACGGCCAACTGGTGTTTAGCTTTGCTTATAAACACACAGGAAGGACCAGAGGACTTAGCTAAAGAGTACCATTTCTACTTGTGCAGTTTTTCTAACTATTTTCTATGTTTTCAGTAGCCTGACTCTAATAGTAGGATAGCCTTTATGCCTTTCAGAAGTATATAACTATTTAATTATAGTAAGATATCATTGTGTAGATTTGATGTAAACAAGTGCAAATGAGAAAAAAATGGCATTTGCAAATAACTTCAAATAAACAAAATGGAGAAAGCTATAAGAAAGGAGAATGTAGAAATTAAAAGAATAAAGCAATATTGAAAGGGTCAGAATTAGAAATGAACACAATAGATAAAGAATTATAGGAACATATAATTCATGCTAGGCTATGTTAGCAACACTGATATACGATATTAACTTTTCTCCATCTGATACTCATTTCTAAGCAAACATTGAGCAAAACGATCTTTTTCCGAAAAGAGATTTGACTTTTTATGATACATCAATTTTAATTTTTAATCCATTGTGGTTCAAATCCAGAATCAGTTTTTTAAAAATATGTAAAGTTGTTCCATGTATATATCCATATATTCTATTTTATTGTTAAAACAAATTATTATTGTTAAAAACAGCAATATATTTTTGACCTGTTTTTTTCTGATCTGTTTTTTGTAGGTAATGATGGCCATTATTGGAATAAATGGAGCTGGAGATAAAGATGATCTCCAGATATCATGCAAAACTATAATTTTTGCTGTTCGAATGGCAACGTGTAATCAAATATTGGATCCATGGGTATATATTCTTTTGAGAAAAGCTGTTCTTAAAAAACTGTATGAGATTACTAGGAGATTTTGTGGAGTACGCCTCGTTAATTTGTCCACATGGGAACTCAATTCCATTAAAAATTCTTTAAAAGTGGCAGCAATTTCAGATTCACCAATTAGTTCCAAGCTGACAAACCAACAGCTACTCAGTATAAGAGTGCCATAAAGCGAAACACAGAGAATGATGAAACAAAGGTTTATGATTGTTGTATACTTTGAAACCTGAGAATGGCTCCAATTATAGATATGTCTCTATCTGGAACTGCTAATACAAGATGTTTGTGAATATAAAGAATCATTTTTATGGAATACACCCATCCATATATAGTGCCAAATATTTCAGGAATTTGTAAAAAAAAAGGAGGCAATGCTTAATAAATTAATATATGTAAAATTATTAAATAAATTATGTTAAAAACCTCAATAAAGATAAGATGTTAGTGGCTGTGAAATAGTTTTGAATGAAGTAAAAAATTCAATGTTTGGGTTTTATGTTTAAATGAAACATAAAATCATGTTTTCAAATGTGTTTAAGTGAAAGCTTAACAGCAGTATTAAAATGCATACATATGTCACAGAATTTAGAGACGAATGTGTCCAAACATCACAAACTCTTGAGAAGTAATATTTTGTTAACACTTCAGTTGGGGTAGAATGAAACCTGATAGATATCAGGGCAAGCATGAAAAACTAAGTATCTTAGTGTTGAATTTTACAATGTATGTGCAGTGAAATTATGTAAAAAGCATTAATTTTGAAAATGTTCCTTGCTAATATAAAGCTTTTGCTGATTTTTGCAAATATTTTATCTAAGTCTTATAAAACAGGTGGAATATTACTTCCTAAATGAAATAGCCCTGCATCTTGCATTTTAGATTTTCTGAGCAATTTAGAAACAAATAGAAATTGGTATAACACAATAAATTCATTGTGTAATCTGGAATTTCTACCCTACAACTTTAATGGTTATTAAATAATTGGATGCTATGCTATATCAATATTTTGAATTATAGTCATATGATTATACAATTACTTCCAAAGTATTGTGAATGTTTAAGTCAATTCACATATATGCATAGAAAAGTTGACATATAGTATTATATGTCAAATATTAATTTAGGTTTAATTTAACTATTATATATTATTTCATGTTGTACTTTGTGGGCTCATCTTATTAATAGATACATAAAAGTTAAAACACTTGTTGGTTTTATTGAAAGTAAATTCAGGCAACATTAAAGTGAGAATTACATCATTCTTGGTCTGAGCAAAAGAAAGGAATGCGTTGCATTTAATTTAAATCGTAATACTTCATATTAAATGTAAAAGACATTACGTATGCACAATAAACTAAATTTGCAATACACAAAAGTTTAAATGAAAGCTTTTTATATAGATTAATATATTATTAACTTTTTCTGCTTATTAAATTAAAATACACATGTATAAATACAGACTCTTTATAAGAGAATGTATATGTGTTCTGTATCTCTCTTTCTGTCTCTCTGTCATAGAGCTTAGCTATAAATTGTTAGAAGTTAGCATCATTTTGTTGTTAATGTATACCTTCACATAATTTTGTATAAAATGTCTGCATAAATTTAGTAAGATTCCTAGGATCTCAGGCAATTGAATGCCTAGGATTTTTCCTGACTTGCATACATTGGAGCTTTCTTAAAAAAACAAGACAAAACTGGCAAAGATAATTAAAGTAGAATATTACAAAATGAAATCAGTGCGCTAAAGGAGGCTAGTGCTTCTATTGCTACTAGCAGCAATCTAAAATATTTTATTACTATTCATGTTTACATGCTGTGTAAGCCAAAAGAATTATAGGCTATGTTAGGTACATGAGACAGAAATAAAGAGACAATACAAACCTTTATTAACAGTTTTCCAAGTTTAGGCTTGTACAATGTCTAACTTACCAAAATTGAATTTAACTCTACCAGTTACATAAACGCAATCTACCAAGTGTCTTTATTTTTACATTGCAGAAAAATAATAATTGTTGAGTTATAAGCAGTGGTGGGATTCAGCTGGTTCGCACCACTTCGGCAGAACCGGTAGCTAATTTTTTGTTGCCCGGACCCGGAATGGACTTCCTGAAGCGGCACCCACACAGAGAACTGGTTGTTCACATATTTGAATCCCACTACTGGATATAAGGCTGGTGAAAGATAATTCCTAAATTGAAGATGTGACAGTGATAGAATAATAGCAATAGCAGACTTACATATCACTTCACAGTGCTTTACAGCCCTCTCTAAGCATTTTACAGAGTCAGCATTGGCCGCAACAATCTGGGTCCTCATTTTACTGACCTCGGAAGGATGGAAGGCTGAGTCAACCTTATCAAGTGTTAATGTTAAGACAAATGAAGAAATATAATAATGTGGAGTATATATTCTATCTGAATCATTTTGTAATCATTTCCAATTATGTGCAGTTATCTTGAATAAATATAATTATCTGGTATTAGGATAGAGCAGGCTTGATATATAAAGAGCAAGACTACAGTTCAGTGATGGAGCATGTACTTATACATAGAAGGTTTTATATAACAAATCTCTAGCGTCTTCAGGAAAGGCTGGAAAAGACCTTTTTGAAAGATTTGTCAATTAATATTAATATAATCAATACTGAATTAAATAGACGTCAGATCTGACTTGATCTAAGAAGCCTTCTAATCTATAACATATGTTCCTATAACAGATCAATACTATCTTTATATAATACAACCAACCCTTCTCCCCTTGATCTGATGTTTGAAACTGGACTTTTGAAGATAGAGTCCATGGCCATTCCTATGTTATGTCCAATGTACATGAGAAGATTACTATTTGTTCAATGGTACATCCTCTGTACATTGCCCATGCATCCTGCAAGTCTCTTCCAGGTACTCTCCAGTTTTCTGGAGTAGTTTTGGGAAGTAAAAGAGGGATGGTTCCAGAAAAATCAGTTCTTTTATGGATTTTATTCCTTCAGTATAATAACTCTTTTGGATGAAACCTGCCTAATGTGTTCAGTGGTTAGGTTAGTTTCAGTGACTATGACTGATGCTTAACAATAATGTTGTGGAAATCTTCACAAATGGAAAGAGAAAATGATATTTAAATTTGCGGGCTTGGAGACGGGTGTTAGGTGAATAAATCTTAATTCTACAGTATGTATTTTTTTCATTTTGGCTATATTGTTTTCATTCTGTATATATATTTCTGTTTATAAATTGTATAAAACAGAGTGAATGTATGATGTAGTGCCTCATTAAATTTATTATAATGTGCCTTTATTGTTATGATATGCTTAAAATAGCAAGGGAGAATCGCAAATGCTGAAAAAAAATGTGGTCATACTGTGAAAGTCACAGAAGTGTTATAAATATTGGTATATTATTGGTGACTGTATTTTTTCAGTATTTAAAGGTGACTCTGCTAACTTTTTTGTGGTTGCAAGTAAAGCTATTTAATATTTGCTCTTTTTGCCGTTTATCCTTTGAAATGTAGAACAAAAAGAACATAACACTATTACGTTCTACCAGACTTAGGTAGTACATTTGATCATATGAATTTCTTTTTCTGTACCTTCCTTACTCACCTGGACAACTTTTAAGAATATCCAAAGAACTAGTATGTCTTGGACACAGACAGAAATGTTTTCAGACTGTAGTGCAGGGGTGTCAAACTCATTTTCATTGAGAGCCGCATCAGCATTGCGGTTGCCCTCGGGGGGCCGGGGGTGTGTGGCCAGGATGAGTGTGGCCTACTGGATGGGCATGGACAGAGTGGGTGTGGCCTACTGGGTGGGCATGGCCAGCTCTACATCGTTCATGTCAAGGGTGCCTGTGGGGGCGTGGGCAAGAGTGAGACAGATCTGAGGGTCTCTGGCAGAAGAGGGTGGGACCAGGGCAAGTGCCAAGGCATCGTTTACTGAAGGAACCTCACTGTTCCTCTCAGGCTATGTGGGGGGGGGCTGGATGGTGGCACGGGCTGCCCAAAGCCCTGGGCAGCAGAGGTAAAATGCCCAGCCTGGCCTTCGAGCACCTGCGGCACCAAGCCGTTTCCAGACAGCCTTGTGGAGCTAAGACTGAATACGTTTCAGCATAGATGGCCACCACAAAATTGTACATTGGCTCCTGGCTGGCCTGGGCCAGGGCCAAGACAGTGGGGGCCATTCCCTCACTGTTTCCAGGATGGCTTCGCAGGCCACATGAAACCACTTTGCGGGCTGCATCTGGCCCCCAGGCCTTGTGTTTGACATGTCTGCTGTAGTGGGATCTTATGTTAATAAGTGGTATTTTATATACTCTTTAAATAAATACTATCCTCTGCAATATAAACTAATATCTTAGAGAAAAAGATTCTAGCATTTTCTTTAAATTTCTGATTTTCCACATGTGGGGAGGGATTTCAGATAGAGAATTAAGCTTGGCTGAATGTTATGCACTAACCCTTTCAAAGGTAATAAGAGGCTCTTGATATTTATTTGCTACTCACTCACTTTCACTTAATAGATTACATCTAACACATGTGTTGTTCTCTCATAATTGGGACCTTAGTGAGCCAGATCATGGAATACCTATCCATTTTGAATTACTAATCCTTTATGTATGAAGTCTAAGAAATCCTGGAGATTTGAATTGTGTCCTTATCTTCAAAAAGGAAAAACAAAAATCCAGCAAACTACAGATCAAAGGAGTACCACAGGAATCAATCCTGGAATCTTTAGTCTTCAGTTTGTTTTTTTAACCAGCGGTGCAAAGAGAATGTTCACAAAATTGCTGATGACAAAAAAATTGGATGCAATAACCCTTGTTGTTGTTAGTTGCGAAGTCGTGTCCGACCCATCACAACCCCATGGACAACATTCCTCCAGGCCTTCCTATCCTCTACCATCTTCTGGAGTCCATTTAAGCTCACGCCTACTGCTTCAGTGACTCCATCCAGCCACCTCATTCTCTGTCGTTCCCTTCTTCTATTGCCCTCAATCTTTCCCAGCATTAGGCTCTTCTCCAGTGAGTCCTTCCTTCTCATTAGGTGGCCAAAGTATTTGAGTTTCATCTTCAGGATCTGGCCTTCTAAAGAGCAGTCAGGGTTGATCTCCTCTAGGACTGACTGGTTTGAGCACCTTGCAGTCCAAGGGATTCGCAGGAGTCTTCTCCGGCACCATAGTTCAAAGGCCTCAATTCTTTGGCACTCAGCCTTTCTTATGGTCCAACTTTCACAGCCATACATTGCAACTGGGAAAACCATGGCCTTGACTATACGCACTGTTGTTGGCAGGGTGATGTCTCTGCTTTTTAGTATGCTGTCTAGATTTGCCATAGCTTTCCTCCCCAGGAGCAAGCGTCTTTTAATTTCTTGGCTGCAGTCCCCATCTGAGGTGATCTTGGAGCCCAGGAAAATAAAATCTGTCACTACCTCCATTTCTTCCCCATCTATTTGCCAGGAATTGAGAAGGCTGGATGCCATGATCTTGGTTTTCTTAATGTTGAGTTTCAAGCCAACTTTTGCACTCTCCTTCTTCACCCGCATCAAGAGGCTCTTTAGTTCCTCTTCACTTTCTGCCATTAGAGTGGTATCATCTGCATATCTTAGGTTATTGATATTTCTCCCGGCAATCTTAATTCCAACTTTTGATTCATCTACCCCTGCCTTTCTCATGATGTGCTCTGCATATAAGTTAAATAGGCAGAGCGACAGTATACAGCCTTGCCGGACTCCTTTCCCAATTTTGAACCAATCAGTGGTTCTGTGTCCAGTTCTCACTGTTGCTTCTTGTCCTGCATATAGGTTTCTCAAGAGACAAATAAGATAGTCTGGTACTCCCATCTCTTTAAGAACTTGCCACAATTTGTTCTGATCCACACAATCAAAGGCTTTAGCATAGTCAATGAAGCAGAAGTAGATGTTTTTCTGGAACTCCCTAGCTTTCTCCATGATCCAGCATACGTTGGCAATTTGATTTCTAGTTCCTCTGCCTCTTCGAAATCCTGCCTGTACTTCTGGTAGTTCTCGATCCACATACTGTTGGAGTCTAGCTTATAGGATTTTAAGCATAACTTTACTAGCATGTGAAATGCAATGGTGCGATAGTTTGAACATTCTTTGGCATTGCCTTTCTTTGGCATTGGAATGTAAACTGACCTTTTCCAATCCTGTGGCCACTGTTGAGTTTTCCAAATTTGCTGGCAAATTGTGTATAGCACTTTTACTGCATCATCTTTTAAGATTTTGAATAGCTCAGCTGGAATACTGTCACCTCCACTAGCTTTGTTGTTGCTCAGATTTCACTTCACATTCTAGCATGTCTGGCTCGGGTCAGTGGCCACCCCATCGTGGTTATCTGGGATGTTAAGTTCGTTCTTGTATAGTTCTTCTGTGTAGTTTTGCTACCTC